GGGTGCCGCCGCCGGGGCCGCCTCGCGAACATCTGCCGGGGCAGGGACCGCAGCCCGGGGCGCCGCTCCGCCCGCTCTTCCTCCCCTGCCACCTCCGGCACCGCCGCCTGCTCGTCCCGGCCCTGCCTCCACGCTGCCGGCTCCCACTCCCTCGTTCTGGCCCTTGCTTCTCTCCATTGCCTTCCCACTTCTTGCGTGGAGGTAGCAACTGCTCTTTTTTCTTGTTTCCCCCTCCTCAACTCTACTAGCTGATCTTCCCTACCTCTTCACCCCCCTGGCCGTGTGTTTCCCTGTTTGCCCTCCTCAGCTAAGGCCCTACCCTCCAGGGTGTCCTAATCCCATGTTGAGCTCCCTTTGAAGTGCTCTCCCGCCCCCATTATGTTTGCAGGCTCCAGACCGTATTCCACCAATGCCTCCAGCTGGGTTGCTTACCCTCAGATCTCCTCTTCCAGGAGGTAGCGCTGCCTATAGAAATAACTTCTGCCCAACACCCATTCCACGTGTAATGTGCGTTCTTCAGTTTTTGCATCCCATCAGCTTTGCCACTGCATCTCAGTCCTGCTTCTCCACTGCCTTGGTTGCAACATTAATCATGTCCTTCCCTTTAAATTGGAAAAATGTACTGAAAACCTACTGGTTTTATCCTGCCTAGACTGTAAATGTTTGGGGTCATGCACTTGCATGTCTCCCACCACAGTGAGGAGTTTCAGCAGACCACGGAAGGTGGGTCGTATGCTATTGATGCTAATTCAGTGACGAATCTGAAATCCATTTCCTTAATAAAATAACAAATTTCAAACAATGTAATGTATGAGGTTGGCCACAGCCCAATTCTGAGCATCTCCTTGGGGATGCTGTACACTTTAATTTCTGTTATACCTACCTCCAGCCTTGGACGCTGTTGGTGAAGTGCCAAAGAATCAGATCTTGTGCATCATAAAGAAACAAATGGAAAAACAAGTAGTAATACCGGAGATTTATCTCTGCATTACCTCTGTTAGTTCAGGTATTCATGAACTGAAATGCGTATTACAACGAAAACAGAACAGAATACATTGTGTAGATAGTCACAGCAGAAGCTATTTGTATGCTTTTAAAGGATGTCAGCACGGCTTCCAGTGAGAACAACACGAGCTTCAAAGAAACGGGAGCTAAGTTCAATCCGTTGATGGAAAATGCAAGAGGCACTTATTAACCTCAAACCCTCCAGATGTGCTCTGGGGTGGGTTTTATCACAGTGTCTCCATTTTTAGGTTTAATATACCTTTTAAAGACACAAAACCTCTTAAAATAATGTGATCATAAATGTAAAGAAGGAAGCATTCTGATCCAAATACATTTTTTTAGAGTCGTGGGTGAGATCTGAATAAGACATAGAGCTGCATTTCTCCAAAGGATTGATGCCAGTGAGAATTGGCTCAGATTATTTTATGTGTTTCATCATTTACAATATTGTTTAGGTCCCTTTAGGCAGACAGTTTCATCCCTTGAAGAATTACAGGGATAGCAAATAGAGCATAGGAGTGGGCTAGGAGAGCTCCTGCAATTTTCACAAGAGCTGTACAACCTGCCAGGTTCTTCTTCCCTTTTTCCTGACCCCTGGCTCTGAGCAGGGTCTGCAGTGTCTCATACATGCTTGTTTCTAAACCAGCATGGTCATATTACCCCACTTTCCCCGTAGATCCTGAGTGACGTGTGAGAGGGCTTGCAACAACTTAAATGCAGGGAAGACCATGAGGCATTTGGACATCTTGATAATGAGGAATATAAAATATCACAGATACACAAACCAAAAACTACTTCCCTCAGCACTTCAAATGCAGAACTGACTGCCTAGGAACATAGAAGTCCTTTCCCCAAAGAGTCACTAGCTTCCGGGTGAAATCTCAGCTGTTACTCCTGAAGGAGATTACAACAGAAGAAATCCTGGATTCTCACCGCAGTGGTGAGATAGAGAGACAAGGCAGATATCAGGTATATCCGGATTAAAGTTTTATGTTTAGTGATACAGTTTGAGATTAGCATACCCTTCATAAGAAAAGTATTCGTATTTGACTCATTCTGCAAACACCGGAGACAAATACAATTTTTGCAGTGAACCACAAAATAACATTGTCCAGGAATAAAAAGAGTTAGCGAGGCCCATCTCCTCTCTGCTGACTTGGGTTGGGTGCACCTGCCCTTTAGCCTTAGTGATCTCAAACTCAGGCACCTACTGAAAGGCAATTATAGCTACTCTGCTGTAGCTAATGGAAAGCAAAAGCATGCCCAGAGCATGATACATCCCATCACAAAATAGTACCTTCAGGGTTCTGGAGAAGCTCACCTGATTCCCTTGTCTATAAAGGGAATGCAGACAACTACCTTAGCCTACTCACTGAATTTTTAGATAGCTAATGCGAGGCGAGAAGAATCCCCTCCTCACTGATTGACCATAGCAGAGAGATCACGCAGTTCTAAAAAGAGCAACACAGGAGTGATGATGTTAAACTGAGGGCATGGCTCTTACCCCAGGTATTTTTGAAGATGTCCAACTACAAACATGGAAGAACACACACTAGATGTAGGTCAGCTTTCTACCATGGTGCAATATTTCATTACCACTCCAGCTTTTGTCAGAAGGCGGTAAGGGTTTCTGGTGTTGTTGAGTTCAGCAAACTTTTCCACGTCATCTCGCGTAACCACTTCATGTGATCACCATCGTTACTCAGTCCCTGTGATCAGCTCTCTAACATGCAATCTTACATTCTGTGACTGTTTCAGGTGAACTCAGTGCATCTCACCTACTCTGAGGTGCCAGCAATCATACACTGGCACACCTATACATTACATTTCCATTTCACCCTTTGGTACTCCTGATACTAAGAAATCTAAATCTGACGGTCATAAATGTTATGGATTCTAGGGCAATCTAGAGAAAAAGAAAAAAATTCAAGGTATCTTACTACCCCTGAAGGTGATAAGTCATTTTAAGAACAAAATACATTTGCCTATTATTCCTCAGCAGACTGAATTTGCCAGACTAATCATACAGAAGCTCCATTAAAGTGAGTTATAAAAATCAATAAAAATAAATCAATTAAATACAAAAGAGTACATTCTAGGTCAGGATGAAGAACAAAACTGACAAGGACGTCAGCTATCTGCCCTTTCTTCTGACCCCAGAAGTCTTAAAAATTCTCTCACTCAGTTTTAATTTCTCTTTCAAATTTTCAATGACCTCAGTCTGGGAAGGGACTCACATGTTCATG